AGTTATTCTAAACTGCAAAGAAGGCAAATTCATTAGCTGAAACTACTAATTGCAAATTGCTTACCAATCCCCTCTCCAGTCCTGAGGGAACAAGTCGCTTTTGCAAAGGGATGGGAATTTTTGTTATTATACTGGTTGGACCATGCCTTTAAAGACATAGGGTAATAACCAGATCTGTCCTTAACCGAGACTACCTATCCTCCAGGCCCAGGGAAACTGAACTTTGATGCCTCAGCAGTGAAACTCCTCAGAAATAGGAAATTCCGCAGTAAAATACTGCCAGGACTTCGCTGTGTTCACCAGTGACACATTAAAAATGCAGTTAATATCACATGATGATACCTGAAAATTTAGTTCATAATCTAATGTATTGATTTGCATTGGAAACAAAATGTAAACACAGGAGCTTTGCATAGCTATGGGACATCTCCTGATTAGTGTTCTCATGGGAATAATTTGAGGCTGCTGACTTGGACCCTCGAAAGAAAAGAGGGAGCAGGAGCACAAGATCCATTTGCCTATCGGAGCTCAGCAATCTGGAAAGGCCAGAGATAAAAAACAAGATTCTTTCCATCCTTCCATTTGAAAAGGCCTTCGAGCCGATTACAGCATTTCCTAGAGAGGCTCTTTGACACGGGAACTTGATTCAGGTTGTGCATTCAAGATAAAGAAAATACCTGTATAATCCCCTCGGGGGAGAAAGGATAATTACAGACCACGGGTTTGAAATATAGCTGATGGCCCTGACCTCCTTCTCTGGACCATCAATAAATACCTCCCTGCTGAAGCACCAGGAAATGGAAGCAGCTGAACTCCGCAGCACCTCCTCGCTGGAAAAGGGCTCTTAAAGCGCTGCGAGGAGCAGTTGCCTCTGGCTTCCACCCACATGCACCTACTTCTTTATGTATGTATGGATCTCTGTCTTATAATTTACATCAGAGACATTCAAACTAAGGCTAGATTAGCTCGCCGGGGCCCTTCCTGCACGGCAGCGCTGACGCTGCACCTTCCTGCAGCCCCTGGCGTCAGCGGCGCTCGCAAACCCCGACCAGCCGGAGCTCCGCGCGCCGCAGAGCGCGGCCCGGCCGGGAAGCGCGGCAGCATCCGCGGCGCTCCGAGGAAGCGGGACCCGCTTCCCATGGGATGGGCAGAGCGCGGGACGCGGCCCCCCTCGTGCCTCGTGAGCCTGCAGCAACCGGACCCAGCAGAGCCACCGAGAACCGAGCCGGGCCCGGCGCATCATAGGGGCTCTTGGAGTAGATGCGAGACTGCTCTAGAACAGGCGGTCTCCTAAGAGGATTAACTGCTACCTCTTCAAAATGCAATCTAAGCTCTAGCACGCTCTGACTTTTAAAAGAGATGTTGCAACAAAAGCCTCAATATCCAGGGATTCAATGTTGCTGAGATGGAGGATTTACCTGTAATGTATCTAAGGAAAGAAGAAAACAGACTTGTAAGACAGGCAGCGATTTGCATGTTCCCTCTGGACTTGTTTTTCCCCCTCACAGCACCCCAAGCTTCGTCTGGAAATGAAACCGAACAAAAACATGATAAGCAACTTAATATCCAAGTAGCACAAACTCTCCTGCTTACAAGTTATTCACAAGCAAGGAGCGCATTTCTCGTATGGAAATGAGTTGGTATTTCATCTTTTCCTTTTTGTAGGTAAAAGTCTTGTTTCCTAAGAAACATTGATTGGGTACAGTCAGCACCCGAGCACCTGCCGGGGCTCCGGGAACGCGCTCGGCTCTCGGCCGCTCTCCTGCGGCTCCTCCGGGCCCGCGCGGACACCGGCCCCGCACCACGGAGCAGAGGCCACAACGGGCTCACGGGGAGCGTTTGTAGCCAAAGGGGCCGTTTTCAGGAATCCGAGGGGTAGTTTCAGAGAGCTCCATGAACGAACGGCTGGAGGGGCTGCCAAACACAGCAGATTCGAAAACTGTGCTTGCATCCAGAGGAACATTTGTAGGGTTGTGTCCTGACACATATCTGTCTTGTTTGAAAGATCTTCTGGCAAAGTTCCCCAATTCTTAACTCTTTTGCCTCAGAACAATATGCTGGAGGGAAAAAGCCATCTGGATATATCATTTAAATCTCAGCAGAACTAAAGTGAAGCTGCTCCAGCCTAAAGCCATCACACCTGCCTGGGACCAAGGACACAGTTTTCCCTGGAGAATGACATCAGAGCATCCCTGACCAGGTTCCTAAATACAAATGGGAATTAGGAGCCCCCTGATTTGTCTCCAGGGGCAGTAGCTGCTCTGGCAGGAAAGTGGATGGTTTTTACACATGCGCTTGGACATTTATTACTAGAAAGTGGCAGCAGCAGGGAGGCCTGGAGAGGAGCACGGGCACCAGGGCCCTCACACCACGCAGGGGAGGACGAGCAACTCGAGTCATTTGAAAGACAAATCTGGGAAAAGCAGGAAACTCCTCAAGACTCTCTAGTTTCTGAGGTAAAGGTATTGGAAGCACACGTTTCTTTTTCTTCTTCGTACCTGGAACCTCAGAGCCAAGGGACCTGCCACGGTGCATGTGGGACTGTCAACTGCAAAATAGAACAAGAGTCACAGAAAATTTACGCTTTATCTTGAAAGATCTTCCCTGGCTCGAAGGTACTAGGCTCCCGACTCCTTCCACGTGCCTCGACTCACAGGCTGATGTCGGGCTGATTAGTCCTGTGGTGTTTCTCATCTTTTACTCTTCTGGAGAGCATAGGGGAAAAATGTTCAGAGAATTCAGGGTTTGGGATGCTCTCCTTCCCCCTCCATCTTTGCAGGCTGTTTCTTCTGAAAAGCACTGCACAGAAATGAGCCTCTGGCAGCCCATCTGCAGCACCACTGCAGTTAGGAGGATCTTGTAGCCCAGAGTTTGCCTTCCACTTGTCTGCCTCTCCACAATGCATCTTTAAGTGATGGCATCAAACCAGCTCCTCCTGGCTACGTTCCTCATCCAGGGACTTTTCACCTGGATAAATCTTTAATCCAGGGATCACTTGGCAAGTTTTGCTTATGTATCACAATATCCCTCCCAGGTAGAGCTTATTATCTCTATTCTGTTGATGGAGATACTCAGGCCAAACTGAGGCGGCAACCTCCTCGCTGGCATAAAACGGATCCCTGGCAGAGAAGGAAGCAGATTCCAGCAGTCCTGATCCGCAGCCCTCCTGTTCCCAGCAGCCATGCTCTGGGATGCAGAGGATACAGGAGGACAGTTATACAGAGGCAAAACCTGTGCAGCCTTCTTTGAAGGCACTTGGGAAAGCCATACAGCAAACCCTTTGGTGGTCGTAGAAACCAGGACCAACTCTGAAGTCTCCAAGCCAGGTGTTTTCACACCACAGCAAATTCATTGTGTTGTGCAAGTTTCTTCATCCCTGGCAGCTACATCCAGGGTAGGTTTAAAAGCAGACTAGATCTGACTCAGCACAAAGAAGCCGACTCTGACCAGAGATCAGGAGATTCTGCTCCAAGTGGAGGGGAGTTGCATGGGATTTTGTGCCACTCTTTACCCTGACCTGCCGCTTAATGCACATGGGAGAAGCACATTACACCTCAAGCAGTACCTCAGCTGCAACACTGAAAGAGGCAGCAAGATGCTAAGCATCATAGAAATATATCTTGTGACAGCATGCAGGAGAGAAGGATACCATTTCCCTTTTGATGTTCAGCAGAACGATTTTGAGGTCTTGGGGAAGAGGACCATGCCAGCTGTATTTCAAAATCACAGCTTTCCTTTGCAAATCAGCTCCTCCTGCCGCTGTGCAGCCCTGCAGGATCTTTTTGCAGCCATCAATCCTGTCGCCCATCAGCAGCTCCCTAACCCAAAACAGCATCCCCCAGGGCAAAACGTTTCACCAGGATTTTCATGTGGGAAACCAGCAGCCAAGCTCCCCTCCACGCGAGCAGCTGAACAGCACCAGCACAAACCAAGAGCTTTTGGTTCTGCTGAATCAAAAATAACAGGATGCACCTGAACTAAGCAAGACGCAGACTAAAAACCCCTCTTTGTCAGGGCTGAGGCACTTCAGCCAGGCAGGGAGCTCTCAGGAAAGCCTGACAGCTAAAGGCAAGAGCAAAGTTTGGGGGGACATAGTGCTCTCCCTTCACCCACTTATCACAGTTTTAAGATCACACACAAAACTGGTAAGACCCCATTCCCAAAGGATTAATAAGTAATAATGATAGCAGATAGCAAAGAGAGTCTCAAGAAGAGAAAAAGAGCTTACACATCTCAGGAGATTGCTGAGCAGCCAGTAGGTATCTAAAATCCCCCTCCTTCCTCAGTAGATCTCCTTGGGAGAACTGACCCCAAACCTTTCCTGCATGCAAACAGGACCAGATCTCTCACCCAGACTAAACCAAGCACAGTCAAACCCAGGGGGAAAGGGCCTCTGTCCTGCCCTTTATAGCCCTCCGGGGCCCAGGTGTCGAGCCCAGCTGAGCCCTGTTGCATTCATCAGGCAGGGCCGGGACGGGGGCCCCAGCAGGCACAACCAGGCAGACCCCGTCCTTGCTGCTCTGTGCCCCGTGCCAGCCCGTCCCCGTGCGCAGGAGCGGGCTGGGGTGCCGCAGGGAGCGGGGCCTCCTCCACGCTGCCTCGGCCCCGCTGTGTCCACGTCTTGTGTCCTGCCCCTCTGCTGAGACCAGGAGCGGAGAGCAGGCAAGGACGGAAAGGTCCCGTCCTTCCCCAGGGCTCAGCACAGGTTCATCCTGTGGCTTAACCCAGGAAACCTCAGAAACAAGATGTCCAAGACAGCGACGCCAATGTAACGTTTCGGTTCCCAGCCCTACCCCTGCACTGCCTGGAAACTGCTTGCGTTGGGTCCGGGTTTGTGTCTTTGCCGTGCGACTCGGGGTTGCCTCTGCTCGGCACGCAGAGGAACCGGAGCATTCCCAGAGGTGCTTCGGGTTATGTCTGTCCAACACTCTGCAGCCCAGGAATGCTGCCACGAAGCCCTGTCTCCAGTCCAGTGGTTTATTCTTCTGCATGGTACCTAGATGAACTCTTGCCAGGTCGCTGTGCTGAGCGCCGCGCAGCGTTCCCGGAGGGGTCAGTTGCCTGCATGCACGCGGCTTGGTCTGGAAATGTCCCTGTGCTCCTGCGTACGGCGCCAGGACGCAGGGGATCCGTGCGCCCGGGGCGCTGCGCTGTGTGCCGGGCATCGCGCAACCCTGCAACAGTCTCATGCTTCCTTCTTGTCTGCAGGCTGGCTCAGGTGCTCCGATCACCTGCTGCTTGCGGGAACAGGAAAGCAGCAACTGAAGATCGAGGGGGACTTTTGGTTTGCTCAGATGACAAGAGACAATTTTGGTCCCCCAAAAGCCAAGGAAACAAAGCTGTCAGGCTTTAATGGTAGCTTGTCTCCCTCCTGCAGCATGTTTATGGGCAAACAAGCTGCAGATCAGACCAGGCAAACAGCAGGTGAGGCCAAATAACAATAATTAATAATTAATGGCAAATGTGGCTATGTTTGTTCTTGTTGTATTGCGGCACCGTTGTCTAATGGATGAAGCACTGTTACAGGACTCGAGAGACGTGGGCTCCGTTCCCAGCGCTGCCGCCCGCTCCGCTCCTCCCTTTGCAGCGCGTGCGCTTTGCTCTTGGCCGCTGCCGCGTCCCCCGTGCGCACCGGGGCTCTGACCCCAGCCGAGGCCTCGAGGCACAAGAGCAATAACCAATAATCACTTTCTGTTACGGGTTCCTTAGTGACGACGCCTGCACGGTTTGGTCGTGGCACATAATCCACAGCCTGACTCTTTGGGGCATTCCCTTTCAGAGCGGTAGGGTCTGGTTCACAGTTCTCCAGGGGTTTTGGACAGCAGGGCCGTTCCTCAAACTGCCAGAACCTGTCTGAATTGCAGTGGTGTCTCCACGTCGTCACTGCTGGGCACCCCCATCCCCTGCATCCCGCAGCCTCCCCGGCCGTCCCCGCTCTGCCCGTGTGGCCGCTGTGCGGGCACCTCCCGAGCTCCAGGTGGGCCTTTCCGCTGGCGTTAGCTGGTGGTGGTGCCAGCAGGGCCGGCTCCTCGCTCCGGTGCCGTGGACACGCGTGGAGGAGCATGTTCCCCTCTCCTGCACGGCTGCCCGGTCATTCGCACTCACATGCAGGTCCCCAGCCATGCATGAAGGCTTGAACGCCCCCAGAGCGTGATTTCCAGGCTTGCACCGATGCGTGCCGATACGCGGTAGGCAGAGCTCTTCAGGGACAGCCAAATTACAGCCAAACGGGGATCCACAGCAGTTCACTAAAGATACGGCACGAGAAACTCCCCCTTCTCCCGGGGGTGCCTGGCTCACACGTGCTGCGGTACCTGGCCCTTTGCAGCAACGCACGGGTATTCGTACAACATGCTCTGACTTCTTCTTTCAAGGCTGTGCCCCAGAGACGAATATTACCTGTTTTAGGGCATGAAAGCAAGCCCTGAAATTGCTGCTGCCTGGAAATTTCCTAAGTCACCTGGATTTCTTACTCGTATCTGTTCTTTCCTTAATATCCCTTAACTAGCTATGGTTGTGGTAAACACCGATAACTTAGTTATTGACTCTAGCAGGGAATTGGTGTATTCCTTCAGATCCCTGACTTCATCCCAGTTTCATGCGGAGTGAACATGATATTTCTTAGCTCATTTCCATTCATCTTTCAGTCTTAAAACATCAGCCATTTTTATATAACATGTGCTACTTTTTACTGCCACGTTAACAAGTTGTTGAGCTGTGTTTATGACACACTGACTGTAAGGCCCCATAATAGGCCCAGTCTATTTATCCTTCCCATTAATTTTCGGGTTTTCTGTTTCATTTGGGGCATGAGTATTTCCTTTATAAAACCTGCATCTCGCCCTGGTATTTGTTACCGTGTTACTCGTATGACCCATTTGAACGTACGTTATGGAACAGTCATTACCAGGTAACCACAGAGAGCGCCAGGCCTGCAATGAGCTGCAGCAATGGCATTTGCAGTGCACTTTGCATTCTTTGAAAACGTGCTTTTTTCCTAGAGTTAAACTGGTTATTCATTTCAAAACAGAAAAGCAAAGAGATTTGGCACACATGTCAGCCATGGCTTTAACCTATAAATCGTTATTATGTCTAAAAATGTTTCTTACTAAAGTGACGTATGGGAAAAACGTACTCATTTCATCCTGGATGTGATGCCATGGGTCCGTGCGCTGCCACATTCACCACTGCTGGCTTCTTGTGTTGACTGGCTTTTTGTCCATTAAGTAAAAGGAAGTTTGTGCTGGATTAATTTGGTTTGATCTTCTCAAGCTTCCTTTAAACCAGGGATGATGAAAGTTTAGTGCTGTGCCTTGTTGTGGGGCTAATCCCAAAGCTGAAGTCAAAGGGAGTCTTTCCACCGGTTCTCATGGACCGCATATTTGCAAACGTGGCTCTTGGCCGCCCCAGCATTTCCCAAATTTTATGCAAGGCTTGAAGGGCTCAGCCTTGGTGATCATCACAGTGAACAAGTGATCCTTGTGATCCTGACAAGGCTGACCTGTGCTTGTCTGGCCTGGGCCCCTAGCAGTGGGAAGGGTGGGTAAGCAGGTGAGAGCAGAGTCTGCACTTTTTCCATTTTTCTCTTCCTTTTTATTTCTCATACGCTATTTCCATTATCGAGGGAAGCTGGAGCAAGCAGCCCTCCTGGCCAGGCTTGTCCCCACGGCTGGCAGCAGTGCCCGTGCGCTGTGTCCAGAAAGCTGGTGAGAACCAGCGAGCTGCTTCCCCGGCCGCAGGGCCCCTCCGTGACGGCCTCCTCCTCTCTCCCTCGCCTTTCTCCTAGTGCCCATTCCCTCCAAGGCGAACGGCGCCATTTCCACGCTGGCAATGAACAAGGACGGGCTCATCGGAGGGGTGACGAACCCCAACGAGGTCTTCTGCTCCGTGCCGGGCCGCCTGTCGCTCCTCAGCTCCACCTCCAAGTACAAGGTGACGGTCGGGGAGGTGCAGAGGCGTCTGTCTCCCCCCGAGTGTCTCAACGCCTCCCTGCTCGGCGGGGTCCTCCGCAGGTAAGCGCCGTCCCTAGGGGCTTTGTAAGGGCCCAAGGATGCGGGGCTGCGCTCTGAAACACACGAGAAACTCCAAGGGCAGCTTCGTGCTCTCCACTAGCTCTCGCATCTTGCATTAATGGCGACAATGAGAAATTAGTTGTTTACAGTAACACTTTAGTTGCTTTTTCTTCTTTCTCTTAAAACACAGAAACTTAAACTGTTTTTTTCCTTCCTCCTTGTTTTTATCTTTCAGAGCAAAGTCAAAAAATGGGGGCCGATGTTTAAGGGAAAGGTTAGAGAAAATCGGACTAAATCTACCTGCAGGAAGGCGCAAAGCTGCAAACGTCACCTTGCTGACATCCCTGGTGGAAGGTAGGAGTCTCCTCTCCTCCCATGCAGGACGGGAGTGCCGATACTTCGCCCGTTCAATACCTTTCATTTGTAGCTTTCCATAAATGAGAGCAATTAAAGCAAAGTATGCAGCAGCCACCAGCACCCCAAACCAGCCTAGAAATGCCTCGGTGTCAGCGGCCACGCTAATCCAACCCCAGCCGCCTTCCGAAACCCATACGTTTCTGCTGGACTAGTCCTACTAGTCGCGCTACGTCCTGGAGGAGCCGTTCAGAACCTGAACGAGACCCAGGTTCAGTGTGAGCTCGCTTACGGCAACACGCACGCGTGCCCTTCGCTTGGGCCTCCGCGGGACAAGGGAGACATGGAGGAGACAGGGGCAGCTTGGAGGTCGTGCAGGTGGGGATGGAGTTTCTAGGAGCCGAGCTCTGAGCGTGGCGTTAAGTCGAGCCTTATAGAGCCAATGGCCTGAGCTGGGCCGTGGCAAATGTGCCATGGGCAGCCCAGCCTGAGAGCGTGAAGAGCCGCTGCTTAAAGCTGCTTGTTTAGCTGCTCCCCTCCTACTTTTTGCACTATGGAAATGATGATGTCGCCACTGCATCTTTGGAGAAAGGGACACGGGTCGCAAACACACGAAATGACAGCTCTGCCTCCCTCCTAGCCCTGGAATCCATTGTGCTTGTGCCCAGCAAACTGGAGGCAGCTGCCTGCAGCCTCTGAATAGAAAATCATCCCCATTGTTGCCAGCAAATTAAATGACCCGCTTCATTAGGCCGAGGTTGTTACTGAGGGCAGTTGGTTTGTGCTGAATGAAGGGCTGATTTCCATTAAAAGAAAAGAAAGAAAAGAATGAAAGAAAGAAAGGAAGGAAGAAATGTACATTTTGATTTCAGGTGGCTGCTGATGTTTTGGTTACTGCCTACAAGCTCATAGTAAATAACAGTGGTGCCATATGTGCTGGATGGATATAATTTTCTCCTGCAAATAAGTATGGTGGAACTTGGGAGATGCTGCACACAGAGGAAGATGCTATTGCCTGGTCATTATGCAGTCCTCTCTCTTGGTCATTTGCTCTTTTAAGTTTAATTTGTCTTCTCCCCTCTGCCTTCCCAATGTCTGCTCATTTAAAGAAAGAAAATGGGTGTTTTTTGGGTGCCAATGATACATTTTGTCTTACATATTCCATAGCTGTTCCTATAGATAGGGGAGAACATCTGCGTGGCGATGATGCCCAGAAATGAAAGGCATCAGCTGCACCGGTGCGAGCAGAGCGCGTTAGGCAGCTGGAGCGGGGCAGTCGCTATCAGAGCGATGTCTCCAGGACTTAGCAAGTTCTTTGCTTGGTTTCTGGAGCTCTGCCACAATTTGAGCTCACATCCATCATTCTTTGCTGCTGAGCATCAGTCATTTTTGTATCTCACAGCTGTCTGTTTAAATCATCTTTAAAAGACCTGAGGATTTTCCAGTAAAAAGGAGGTGAATCCTGTTAGAAGTGGAGAGGAGCAGAACAGAGTTCACTGTAGTGAACAGCCTTTTCTTTGCTACAGTAATTGTTTTTCTGCAGTCAGTATGTTTTGATTGCTTTTTTAAACACACGAACTACTCCCATTCTGATTCTCTAAGCTTGCCCCATATTTATTTTCCTTTTTAGAGGAGGAGACACAGTGCAAACTATAATCTTTACGTGGGAAGCACAAACACCCTACGCGGCTCCCCGAGCTGGGGGATCTAGGTTAATGTTATCAGGATGGATGGCCTAGAGGGGATGAGCAGCAGGGGGGAGGTCAAATCAGCTTCGTCTGCCCAAGCAGGATTTCGGGTGCTGGGCAGGATCAATTGCCATCAGCTCAGATTATTTCCATGGGGATGCCTGAAGATGGATCGATTGCATCAATGAGGGGGCATTTCCACGGAGTGATGGATGTGCTGCCTGGGTGTCCACCCCGAGGCCTTCCCATTCCGTGTGGGAGGATGTAACCACCTTCGTTCTGCGCTTCTCTCATATCCCCTTTCCATCTACTCATGGGTTAAGATTGCTATTTCACTCTCCAGCCCCCATCTAAAACTGAGACTAGTCTATGACATTCTTAATTTGGAGAGCCCAGCAGAAAGCGAGGAAAAGAGCGGGCAGAGAAAGTCTTGATGGTGCCTCTGCACCGAGTCTCGAGGGCAGACGGCGCGCGCGGCCGCTCCGCTCCTCCTCACCGTGTCCCGCTTGTTGCAGGTGAAGCCGTCCACCTGGCCCGGGATTTCGGCTACGTGTGCGAAACGGAGTTCCCCGCCAAGGCGGCGGCCGAGTACCTGTGCCGGCAGCACTCCGAGCCCGGCGAGCTGCACGCCAGGAAGAACATGCTGCTGGCCACCAAGTGAGTATGGAGCGCCGCGAGCGGCATCCCCCTTGCGCATAGAGAGCGCGAGCGTCTCCCCCCCAGCCGCTCCTGCTGCAGGGGGGATAGGGCTCGTATGTTGTGTGCAGTCACATCCAAAAAGACGTGCAGTGAGGAATTAGTATGGAAGCAGAATGCAGGTAATGAAACCTCAGACCAAGCTGTGTCCCTGCAGCTTTCCCAGACCGTCTCAAGTAATACCAACTTTTCTCTTTTAGGCAAATTTGTAAAGAGTTTGCGGATTTGATAGCCCAGGACCGCTCGCCTCTTGGAAACAGCCGCCCCTCACTCATCCTGGAGCCTGGCGTGCAGAGCTGTTTGACTCATTTCAGCTTGATAACCCACGGCTTTGGGGGCCCAGCGATCTGTGCAGCGCTCACGGCCTTCCAGAACTACCTGGTGGAGTCCCTAAAGGGGCTGGATAAAATGTTCATGAACAGCACGGGGAACGGGCACCCCGCCGGGGACTCCAAAGCCTCAGACAAGGACGTGAAGCATCGGAAATAGCAAGCTGCATCCCTCCCTCTCCCTAGGGAGAGCCTTCCCGAGCGGCCCTGCGGACGCAGGACGACCCTGCGCACTGTGTTCTGAAACCGCTTCGCTTGAACCGGGATGAAACGCACCAAGAGGGGGGGAAAAGACTTGGAACAATAAAAAAAAAAATGAGATTAAAACAACTCTAATGGACATAGTGAGATTCAGAAGAAAAAAAAAAAGCCAGGTTCATGGCTTTGGGGCTTTTTTTTTTTTTTTTTTTTAACATGGATGCAGGAAGACAAGTTATGTGCAATTCTTATTTTGTTTTAGATTTTTTTTCCCTCTTCTTTTTAAACCCTTAATGAAATCCTGATGTACTCCAGGAATCTGTTCCAACTGAAAAGCTGGGAAGGAAGTAAAGGCCTCAGCAGCAGCAGAGGCACAAGCAGCAGAGCAGGAGGGAGCTGGATCACCGGTTGTACCCGGTGGCATCACGTGTTGGTGACCAGCAAACGCCCTGGAAAACTCCGTGTTTCGGCACCAAGAGCCCGGCCTGGAGCCAGGCCAAGAACAACGTTGCTGGGGTCACCGCGGTTGCAGCACCAGGACCCCGGCTGCCGGTTTCAAACTCAGCCTCGCTGCGGATTTTCCGCTGGGCTGCGGAGCCCGGAGCTGCATCCCGAGGGGAAGGAGCAAACCTCACGCCTGGATCATTCCCGAGGCGTGAAGAGATCCAGGGGAACCTTCCCAACCTTGCTGGGCGCAGCAGGAGGGATGAAGCAAGTTAGGCCCAGGAGTGATTAAAACTCCATGGCCTATAAGTAACAGCACACAAGTTTCTAAAAATAATAATAAAGCACAAGGAGCAGAACTTGAACTAGGCCAAACTGAACTGTTCTAAATCTGTATATATTTATTTATGTGTAATTAAATCTGAAAGTTTTAAAATGTCCTGTGCAAGTTATTTATATTGAATTGAGTTGGGTCTTTTTTTTTTTTTTTTTGGAGAGATGGAAGTCTTTGGATTTTCTAGAAATGGGAATGAAGTTTTGGATACACAAAACTGTAGCATGGACAAGATAGGCTGTGATGATGATGACTATAGAAGTTCTGCAGGATTTTGTACTTGCTGTTGTTTCTCTTAATGCTGCAATAGATGTACAACACCCACACCACAATGTCATTCTCATTATCTTAATAAACCCCTTTCTATTTCAAAAAAAAAAACACCTTCATCGTCTTTGTGACCTGGGATCCTTCTGCTTCGGCGGTTACCTCGTGAAATAGTCTATCCATTGAAGATAAAGTGTCCTCCAGGTTCACAGTCACCCTGAATGTGACACACCGACATGGCAGCCAAACTTATAGGGTGATGAAAGATGTAAAGGGACTGCACGAGGAAAGAGCAAACAGACCGGAGCTGCCTCCTGGGGAGGGCACCAGCAGCACATAATAAAGAAATAGAAGGCAATGGCATAAAATACAAACAGGGAATGATTACATTAATTTCAGGTGGTGGCCAGTCCCTCGTTTCACCAGGCAGCAGGTCTGCGGTGTGCGAAAGCGAAGCCCGAACTCCGGGCTCCGGAGACCTGGTTTCTCTGGGGGACTTCCAGAAAGAGGAGCAGGCGACGAGGAGGAGCCGGAGCAGCACGGAAATACAGGAGACACCTCGGAGGCTGCTTTACACTTCAAAGCCAGGGGCGCAAAAGCTATTCCTAAATAAAATCATTCCAAAATAGGAGTGCCCTGTTCTGCATTAGCATAATCCACGTTTAAAATGGATTATGACAAAGGAGAACAAGGTGCTTTTGTGCTAGAATACAGGTTTCCCTTCATGGAGTTATTTAGGAATAATTATCCCGATATAATTCAATTTGTAGACACGTTCTGGTGCATAGTATCCGAGAAGTACAAACTCCATGCCAATGCATGATGAAAGCCCACATGTTCACACCATAATATACAGTGAAATGTCATTTCATCACGCAGTCGTATTATGAAATCTGACTTGATTGAGGTACTCTTGAATATCAAAAAATTCTTGGACACAGCAGCGATGAGCAATACAATCAAAGCGACAGGATATAACTACAGTAATTACATACCGTGTCCACCAGCTAGAGAAATTACCTCCTTCCTCGTTTTCCTTTTTGGATTGCTGCAAGTCTTTTGCATGTTTCATGAGGTACAGTCTGGTGCCCGAGAGGCGAGGAGGACACCAACCGCCTTTTAACTGGCACCCAGGCTGATGACTTGGATTTGGATGCTGGTCTTGGGTATGTCACACAGGAACAACTTTTTAAAAGCATCGAGATTCCCACTTCCCCAAAGGAACAGAAAGTTTGCAAATCTTCACTTCCAGGTGCCTGCATTAATACTTGAAAAGAGCTTGGATTTTAGAGCTTGTATCAGGTCGTTTCTTGCTCACAAGTTAGTGCTGCAGGTCCCCTCCCAAGGTCACTGTCAAATAAGGCCATCCCTGATGGGCTCCCTGCCTTTCCATCCTAAGAGGGAGAAAGGCTTTTTGCACAATTCAGTGCCCAACCCCAGTATAAATTCCCACACTGATTACAAATATCATCATGGGAAAATACATGAGATTGTATCAAGGAGTAAAAATAGATTCAGACTCATGCTTTCTACTCGTTATAGAACATTTTGGAATTTCAATCCTAAAAGGGAATTGAACAGAAATCTTTTTTTTTGAATTAATTTTGAATGAATGACAAGTCCAGGGAAGCCACATGACAATTCTTGATAAGTGAAAAAGGACATTAGCAAACACTCTTCATTCCCTACCAGTCAGCTGTTCCAAGGGCAAACCGAGGTTAGCGTTGAATTGGGATTCTATATTGTATCATTAACATAAACAAGCAGAGGTTGTGCATCGGCATCCTGCATTACTTTGGTAAGCTAAATAATTATCTTTAAACAGCCTATGTTAAAAATGACAGCATAATAACAACTCTGTGCTGAAACAAGACAATAAACAGACTTTAGTGGCCTATAGTTAACACATTCTTTCATGTATGGGATAGTCCATCAAATTCCAGACTTTGCATGTAGAGTCCAGGGAACCACACAGTGAGCAAAGCAAGTGGGCAAAGCAAGATTTTTTCCTGTTAGTGCAATTGAGTTAAAACACTAAAAACAGAGGTATTTCCAAAGGAGGCAGTAAAACAAATGCTATTTCCAAGAGCAAAAATGCTGCTTTGGAGATTATTGTGACTACCTGGGCAGACAGCACAGCTGTCACACGCAGCACACCACTACAGCCTGAATTACCTTAAACTTGCTCAGAAACCCTCTAAAACCAGTCATTGCACAGAACCTGAACGCGCTGAGCCAGAAGGTACCGTTCTGCTCTTGCTGCACAGCCTCCTTTGTATTGCAAAGAAACCCCACTGCAGCCACCCGAGCATCACCGAGTGCATTTTCAATAGAGCAACATAAATAGCAGTAATAACTCCAGACTCTGCTGCATGGGGCTAACATATAACCAGAATGTGACCCCCTAATCACAGCACTGAAGGCACCCCGGTTACTTCTTACCTAGGCACTGCAGAGGGCTCCTTTGTGTGTTGTTTTATGTTGGCACCTTGAAGTGCTTAGTTTGCCTCATGCTCCCCATAAATAAGCAAAAGCATTTCCCATGAAGATGGGCCCAATTCTAGTGACAAGCTCCTCATTAAAGAAGGGCTGTTAAACGCAGACCGCTCCGCTTTCTAGGGGGGTGGGATTAGTTCAGAGGAAGATCAAGGTATCGTTCCGAGCCAAGGAACTCCCAACCGCGGCACGTCGGGACGTGTCTGGATGCTGCAGGCCCCTCTCCTCACCACGGGCTGTCCCTGCACAACTGCCCTGGGCTCCCCTCCTGAATTCTTTCACTGCACAAAGTCTGCAAGTGCTTGGAAGTCCCCAAAGGCAGCGTTTTCTGGCATGACTTGCTCCTGACTGACCTGCACTCAACAGAGATTGGTCCGTCAGCTTTCTTCGCCCACACTCAGTTCCAGACAATGTGTGTGATCCCACTCGCCATCTCGAACAGACACATTTCAGTTAATTCCATAACAGCATCTCAGGTTTGTTCTCAAGCACACGCTGTAAGAGGTGAAGCACATTCATCCCATAGGCTGCTCCAGGCCTCCACAGGTCCAGACATCAAGTGGACCCATCAAGCTCTTTATTGGGCGAGTTTCAGTTTATCAGACATTTTATAAGTTGTGCCATACCAGGCACAAAGGAAACTCATCTGGAAAGCCCTGCCGCCCTTCCTCTGCATCACGCGGGGATGTTTCTTTTCCACCAGGTTTCATGTCACCATGAAGCAATTAACATTTTCAAGAAGAACCATTTGGCTGGAGTCAGTATTCCTGACAGGAGCTAAGTTTCACTGCAGCTCTTTGTGGAAACAAAGGAAAATTCAAACTAGGAGGGCAACGCATCAAAGGTCCCTGGGCTGCAGGTGCCACGGACACTGCTCAGGAGGAGACCAGTGGAAGGGCCAGTTTGCTTAGCTCGGACCAGAAGAACAGCCTCCCTCATCCTCTTTGTAATCTGCTGTTTGGAGTCTTAAATGGACCCTGGCACCACAGACAATTGCTTCAGTCCAGACCTCCCACTCTTGACCCATTTTCGTTTAATTTTCTCTCCCAGCCTTGTCATGTCAGGAGCACATTACAGCAGTATATTATACCTTCCAGAGTTTCCTGCTAATGTGGCCCCCATTGCAAGCACAGTAATTACCATGCTAAATCAGACTGCAGCCTTCTAGTACAAATTACTCCTTTTTTCCCTCTGGAAGGAAGACCCAGTTCTGCAGAGCTCTGAGCCAAACCCGGAGCACAGGACATCCGCGTCTGCGCGGGACGTTGCTCATCACGGCAACATGTCCAGACGAACACAGAGGAGCAGATTTTCTGCACATTTTGGAACCAGTGTGGGAGCCAAAACCAAAACCGTATGGGCTTTGCAGCTCCTAAAGCCATCGGCAGAGGTTAACCTCAACCCTGAGCTGCCTTATGTAAACAGGGCCGCGCTGGAGGCAGCCTGACCCCGCAGCGCTCGCACAGCACCTTCCCCACGTCTCATCAAAGCACTGGCTGCAAACACCAAGGTAAATACAAATTCACAAGCTTAAAATTATCAGATGCACCAGCCCAAAGCCTCAAATTAGAGTATTTGGTCGGGCTTCTCATGCACTTTGGTGGATACTGAAAACAAATGAAATCTAGGGACCAGTTTCAGTTGTTTTCTCCTTAAAGGAGCCCACTCAGGATCACAATATTTTAAGGATTATTATAAGGAAAAATAAAACAAATTGGATTTTTCCTCTCATTTAAAAACAGTGATAAAACAGAAATTAGTAAATCCAGGAGACTGGATCCAACCCAATGGAAAAACGACCACGTCTACGTTTCCCATTGCCGGCAGTGTGTTGGTAGAGGCTGCGCGCTCCCCACGGGGCAGAATTCCAGCGCCCGGCAGATCCGCGCAGGGATACGGGGGCCGGAGGTGTCTGTGCACGACCAGTGCCCTCTGCTGAACGCGAGGGGCCTCTCCCTGCCTCCCGGCAGGGCCATCCCAGCACGGAGGCCAACGCGGAGCGCTGGAGACCGACAGCCCCGAGGCGCTTTGGCGGGGCTGCGACAGGGCGCTGTCAACAGCCCTGCAGAAACCCATACAAATGAGGATGGAGCCAGCCCTAGCTTTGTCTTTTGGACATTACACAGATAAGGTTATTTTCAAGTTTGTACATAAACACCAAAACTGCCCGGTGACCTCAGCGCAGCCACTAAGCACTGGGTACTTTACCCGGGCGACCTTCCCAGTTCGACGGCAACCACAGCTCAGCCCTTTTCCATGCACAATGTGCTGTGTCCACACAACTAGCAAGTCCAAGGCTGTAAGGAAATTTAATTAAAAATAAAAGGTTCCTCTGCCCCTTAAACAAAAAGCTACTGAAATCAGTCAGCCAAAAAATGTGTAAAGTAGAAGTCTGCCCCACTACCACTATTAGCCTATCTTAGCATGCATATATAGTCATGATGTGCGTGGATACTAAACACCACTTAATCACTGGAGGGCTAGGGCAGCCACACGGTATTTGCAAAGCGCAAGGCCTGACTATTAACTGCGGAAATGGGCAAAACGTCGCACACAGGCAAACAAGCAGGGAGAAAAACATCCAGGATTTGGGAAAGCAAGAGCCCCAACCAGCCTGCATTAAGTGCCAGACTCAGACTGGAGAAGGTTGAGAAGAATTTCACCAAAATGCACTCACCCAGGTCACCACCTCAGAGAAGGGGGATATTTGGTTGCTCCCATCTCGCGGCATTCAGGCGGTTTGGATCATTGCCTTACAGAATTAAGTTAGCCATAGATCCCAAACTTACCCTGCATTCGCTGGTACTCAGATGTAGGCATCTGCTTTATCCCTACCTCTACATAGATTTGATTAGCAGAGTTTAATTTTCTTTAAAAAGAACTTGCTAATCTTTAATGCTCTACTACATTACACAGAGAACGTACGGGTAATTCTGAAACAGATCCCTTAAACATCACACAGTAAGGGGTTTTCTCTACCCCTTCCACAGCTGTCTCCAGTTAGACTACACGAACAAGCTTATTGGATAACTACCTAATTGCACGTTAGCACAGAACCAAAACGCTTAAAATGTCACTTCACATTTTCGAGACAACTAACTTATTTTTTAACGTAGTCCTCAGCAGATCACAAGCACACAGGGGTTTGAACTTGTCAAGGGCATTGAAAATGCAACAAATATTAATGTCAACATTTTCATTTTTCTTTTTTAATCCATTAAAACAACTTATTCCCCTTTAGCTTGATCAGCGCTCGCACGAGAATTTCCTGCACTTAGTTACTGTTGATGGCAGACTGATAACACATTGAACCTCGGCACAGGGTTAAACCTTTGAAGACAAGGAACTTTAAAAGGGTGGAAGGATAAACCTATTTTTATGAGCAGGATAAACGTATTCTCCTCACGTACAGGCGATGTGTGTTGTGTGACACAGGTAGCAGATGTATCGGAAAGCCAAGGCGCTGCTGAACGAGCAGGGTGCTCTCCCCATCAGCTGCACTGTGTGTTGGCCGAGCACAGCAGGAGGGGGAAGTGTTTTAACCTTTCAGCAGGGAAAAACAGAAGCCTTTTCGCCCAGTACCAACCCCTTAACAGGGCAAGCCCCCAAACTGCAGTTTACACTGCAGCTAATTCAGATTTTACTTGTTTGTCCTGAGCTGCTGCCTACGTTCCGCTGTCACTGCCATTGAATGTCCACACGGCTTTACTGCCCAAGGTTTCTAGGCACCCCTGTCATTTCTAGGACTGCAGGACACCCCGATACGTTACACACTGCCGCCAGGCACACCTACACCAGTCAGCTGCCCACAAACACCAAGGACCTCTGTTATTATGCTCCTAACAGGCATAAAGTTACACAAGGAAATGCAGTTTTCCTTCCACTAAAAGATAACAATCACCACCAAGGAAAGAGCTTCTCCCTGTGTAAGAGCCCTCCTAGGTCTACGGCACAAGCCAAGTGCTCGTACAGGCGGCGCTGCCGCTGCTTGAGGTGGAGGCCGGGCCTCCACGGGCTGCCCCGCGTGAGATGCTCCTCCAGCAGGAGCACACGGACGTGGCCGCGGGCTCCCGGCCCCGCTCCCTCGTAAACCGACCTCACGGCAGCTCCTGGGATGAGCCGGGGCAACGATGCGGTGTTCGGGAAAGAGCAGCCTTCAACAGGAAACCTGAAACGAGAAAAAGGGCCTTGTTAACTCTTTACGCCCTGAGGCTTCGGGAGGGAAACATATGGTCAGAATTACTAGCCAAAGCAAAGCAGAACAGCTCACTGTGGATGCAACAATAACCACAAATGCTTACCTTTGTTAAAGCACGCTTTTCAAAAACACATACGTGAAGATCCAAAAACTTGCAGTATTAGACAGAACTATTCTTTGTAGCATTATGCTTACAGAGAAGCTATCTTGCAAAGAGACACGTAGTGCTAAGCACAGACACTTTTGAAAAGGAATGCTTTTAAAAGGTATTCCTGGATTCCAGGAAAAATACAGCTTCCAAATGCTTTAGGGCTAAAACTAAAGCAGTTACTGCAAATAAGAGGGTTCTTATTCCCTCCCCCATAAGGAACTGAAATAGGAAGTCTCAAACATTTACCAAGCAGATCACACATTACACTTGAAAAATCACAATTTAAGTTTCCGTGAAGCTAAAAATCAATACTATGGACCTTTAAAACAACACACAAAGCTGCGGCAACAATATTATTTCTCTCTGTTAAAAGTGTAAATAGTAGCAAAAGTGTCCCAAAGATAAACTACTTAGAAAGAACACCCTGATGCTTTGGACCGGTTCTTTTGTTCTGCTTCGCATTTATTCATTTCTAGAGGTTGCTGCTCCCTTGGCTGCTGCTGCAACCCCTTCTATCTTTCAGTCAATGGCAGATTCAGAGCCTGGCCCTTGCCCTCGGGCAAAACATATGTTCCCCTCCAACCTGAATCCAACACGGGTGTTTGCAATAGAATAATCATTCTGTGTTTATTAATCACCTGCATGCAAATTGGTGTCAATAAAAACTCCAGGCAGATCCTCATGATCTAACACATGATCTAACAGTAGCACGCCCCTGTTTTGGGGCCTACAGAACAAAGAACATCTCCAATAAGACATTTCTGCTTTGATATGCAGTGACAAAAATATCACATCAACTTAGGCACTCTGCAATGACTTTGAAAAGAGAAACAAGAAACCTGCAAAAACATTCAAGATCAGTGGTAAAATAAATTAGAGATGCTGCATATTAAACTAAAGAAAAAATACATTAATGCAACATGAAAGGGTGAGACTTCAGTCACAGAAGAACTAGAAGACTCTTAAGATTTTACTTATGTTAAATGTGACCTGCCAAGAAAAAATACTTGGGATTTCCTCTCTCATAAAAGTTTCTCAAAAACGGTCTGTTTTAGCAAAATGTTTGTTATATGTCATTGGTTTTAAATAAAAGCCATTGTAGCCATGACTACAATAAAAACAGCTGATAATTAAATTCACTCTGGAAAGAATTAAAAACTACAAAGCCTGATGGGGCTTGAGTTCAAAATTAGATTTAAGTAAGGCCAGTCTTAAGGAGCCGGATCGGTTAAAGCACTGCAGACAAGTTTCTTTGGTGACACTGAGCAAGTCTCGATCTCTTAATCCAGTTCACACAGCCTGTAAAATGGGAATACAGGGCAAGATCAAAAAAGCCTTGACAAGCCAGGACAGCTTGTCTCAGTTACTTACCTTTCCCAGTCACAAGAGTTTAAATGTTGAAACACGAAGCACAGTCTCCACACATAAATCGTACACATCCATCTTTGTTTTCAGGTGATATAGTGTGTGTGTGTGTGTGTGTGTGTGTGTGTGTATACACATATATATTTAATAATATACATAATATAATATATAATACATATAAACTTTTTGATACCTAGATTTGAAACTAGGTTTCTATAAAGCAAATGGTGGAAATATTTGGAAGTATCCAACAGATACCGAATTGTTAAAGTGGATGATGGCAAATCATCTAGAAAATGCAGCATCAGTCCCCCCATGCATAAGGGAGCTTTAGGCAGAAAGATTTTAATGAGGAAAATAAACTTTATACAATGTCTCAGAATAGCAGAGAAAGAATATGCAACCTGAATGTGCAGCCATCAGCAACCCATCAAATTTCATACTCATTGTGAATGATTTACTTCAGTACTTTTGGGAAGGATCAGTGGAATAAAAAGATAAGACTGGCTATATAAATGTCAATCTTTATTTGATATCCCAGTACATGACTTGTGTACTTCAAATGAACAGAAAAATCTGAAAGCAGACAGAAGAAAAAAAAAAAAAAAAAGAGATCACTGAAGAAAGATCCTAGGGGTTAGGATACCACTTTTGTAAGGGATATATTATCCACTTCATGGATGCCATCTTTGTCAATGAACCGGGCATTGAAAGAAGGCAGATTCAAGATGAAGCGTTTCTGAAGCTGTTCAATAAAAGACAAGAGAGATGAGATACAATTAAAGCTTAAATAAAAGCACAATTTAAGGGATATGCTGGTGCACATCAAGAAAGTTCTCCCTTCTAACTTTTTATCCTGGCTGCTCCTAGTACCTCAGGTCACAAAAGCTGGTGCTTTCTACTGCTTAGAAATCTATGAGTAAAACAAGCTTCCCCCCCCTGTTATGAGATTGTCCTTGTTAGACCAGCCTCACTAGGCTAGAGATGCAAAATACACCATGCCTGTTAACACGGAAGGAAGGCATTTAAAGATCAGGAAGGTCAGAGTGGGCTACAATTTCGGTCACAAAGTATTTCAAAAAGACGGCAAATAGAATTCCTCATATAATACCTCTTCCCAAGATTTCCCTAGTTGTTTCCTACTACTTTTGATTCAATTCTCTCTCTTGAAGACAGATAGATTTTTTTTTTCCTACAATGAAAGACTTGCAGTCTGAGAGGATATATTTATGCTAAAGTGGATCATCTTCCTAAGATCAAATCTTTATCTCAGATATTCCTTCATAAGCTGGAAGAGAAATGTGCTTAAAAGTATGTAGTGGTTATTTTCATGTAATCCAAACAAGAGAAGGATGCTTGCATTATGTTCAGAAACAACATAAAAGGAAAAGTCAAAGGCTGTCTGTATCAATATTATGCTAAGCATGGAAGAAGCAGAAGTAAAGAAAAGCAATTAAGCTTAAAGTTTACATTCTGGAGGACATGAACCATGCTAAGACAATGCAAATGCCCACAAATCCTTTTCCTCAGTAGCTATTCCACATCTGGCCAATGTGTATTTATTACCCCTTCTGGCAAAAGCAAGAAAAAAAATGCAACAAGAGGAACAGGAAAAATATCAGCAAATGAATGCAAACAAACATTCCTTTCTCAAGATCACACGGGCTTAAGTTTGGCAACTCACCTCCTCTAGACATTTCTTTAGGAGCTCTACAGCTTCCTCACGTGTCATACCTGGAAGAGAAAACATCCACAGATTGCTTTAATTAGAGGCCATCTCTCCCAACAGAAACTTTATTAAATTTAACCAACTCTTCAGCTGAGCACCAAGCCCTCTCCTTCTCAGCTCACAGCAAACACTTTCCAGATGCACTGAGGATGCCCCGCGCTGAAGCACTCGCGCTGCAACAAGCCATTGAGAATCGATTTGTTCCACTGAATGGGAAGCATGACGGAATTTTGCCTCCCATGGCCGGGGAGTGGGCTCCGGAGAAGTCCAGCCGTCTCTCTCTCCTCCAGTTTATTACAGTTTTAAATCAGCTCCATCTGGCCACGGCCGGCTGCAAGTCAGCGAGAGGAGGCGGAGATGGGTTTTAGTGCTACGTTCCCTGCTGGGTATTAGCTCTAATAATGGGAAAGGCACGTGTGTGATGCCCCTGCTATTCTCACACATTAGGATAAAACCCGGCGCTCTAAAGAGATGGCAAGCCATGACAACATATTGTAATTCATTAATTTTCTCCTTTCACAAAGAATAAGGAAAACAGAGCAGTATCATTTTCAAAGGACATGAGAAATTGGAGGAAAAAAACAGAGCTCTGTGGATCAGACGCAAGTTGTTTCTAGAGGTTTTGTTTTGGGTTTTTTGTTCTACACCTGCACTCATTGTTTAGGCAGAACTCCCATTAGAATAAAACTGCCAGCTTACGATGGATTTGTCCCAGGAAAGATAAAAGTATTACTAACTGAATAGCTATGCTACCAGCTCCACACACAAGGAGTGAGCTAGTTTTATAGCTAAATGCAAAAGTGACAGATGAGCAGGAGTCCCATCTTTGTACATTTTCTCATGTGCATATGTGGGTATTATTCTTTGACAATGTAAGAACTGAATTATGATTCAAAATATAAGACTTCAGACAGCTATTGACACACAGGAGAATCATGAGCAACAGTTACCATGTGCATAAAGCTAAAAATTCAACTCCTCTCGATCACACTGGAAACGACTGAGATATTCTCGCTAGGAAAGAATGTATTTTCATTTGTATGTTCCCAGTATGACAAAAATCAAGTCAGTCCAAGACACAGGTCTGAGACTACACTGAAGATTGATACTTTGAGAAAATGGATGTTTCATAAGCAGTAGACAAGCAAAGAGGAACATAAAGGTATCAAACTGCTATCTATTAAACACAAAGTAGTAGCTAATTGCCCAAGTAAGCCTAGTCATGTTTTAGAATAAATGAAACTTTAGTCTGTTATGCTTTAACTTTAGAGGGTTGTCTAGTTTCACATTACCTTTACAGGAAAAACAGAAGGCAATCTTTAATGTTACATTCTTAGCCTGGCAAAAAGTTCAAGTCTGTAATACTGCAGCAACTGTACTGGACTGCCCGACTCAGAATTATAAACCTTTAATTTACTAATCAGGAGGAGGAGGAGAATCCTTCCCTCTCACCACGGCCTTTACTTACCCGGCTTGTAGTAGCGGTCAAGGATGCTGAGGGTGAGGAACGCCCCGTACCCGTGTGCTGCGAAAGGCGCCTTCGCCAGCGCCGCCAGATAATCCATGTAATAAAGGGCAGGGCCCTCGTGCTCATCGTAGCCAGCCAGGAGCAGGTTGACATGGTAGGGAGTCTGCAAACAGAACCGCGCTCGTTAGGACAGCTGTGTGCAGACCCTGCAACCTTCATCCCCTGTTACGCACAGTATCAACAGAGCTGATTTAAAATTTTGCCATAAAATGCTACTAGTAACTATACCAATGCCAGATATTGGAGACTTTGATATGAACTGAAGACCAGATTAGGCCTTTACTGCCAGATTGGCAATACAATGGACTACCAGAAGCAAAACTGAACTGGCAAAGATTCTCCTGTAACAGATTTAAAACAAACAAACAAAAAGCCAGTATTTATAGCATATTCAAATTGAAGAAGAAAACTTAAATTAAAATATTTGCACACCGGAGTTTTTCATCTCAACATAAGCCCCATGGATTTTTGCTGTCAACATGAGAGCACAATATCAACATTTTACAGAAAACTTCTTTAACTTTGCTGTTTCCTCAATTGCACTGCAGGCAATCGTAGACCTTTTTAGTAAATCTGAGAACTTACATACAGTGTGAACAATTATAACATTACGCTGTCTTTTTAATTGGCAGTTAGGCTCTTATTGCATGAATCACCTTTAGTTTTTAATATTAGGCTAACGGGATCATACGAGTAAGGAAAAGTTAGGAAATCTGTTTATTTCCATTCAAAAGAGACAACTAAGATAAGGCAACGTTTTTCAGAAATTTTCAGTGCAACTTAACACAGGACTAACACCTCTGTGTTGGGACCGGGATCTTCTTTACACTTCAATCCTTTCCGTCTCATTTACTCAACGTGACTCAAACTATCACACACCGACAGAGTCGATCAGGATGTAAATGTTAGCTTAGTATTACCTATAATTAATAACTGCACAGTCCTCCAGATGCAGCTTTGGATTTTAAGTAAATCCAGGCCAAGAGTTCAAAGCTCATTTAAAGACTGCTACGATCGCAAAGGTCTACCAAAGCAGTTGGCTGGCTAACACTTCAGGAGAAATTCAAAACACCACTTCTTTGCTAATTTAATCTTGGTGTTGGAGGCAATATTTTTCATCCAAAGTATCTTTACACTTCATGCTGTTTGATTTAAAATAACTACAGTGATTAAGAGATGTGTGAAATTCTTCAGAATTTACAGCTGAGGAGAACAGTTGTGATAAACACGGTGAAACACCCAGCTCAGCAGCGGCAGGCTGGGCGGTGACGAGCAGCGCTGTGACATCTGGCGGAAGCCAAAGTCACAGCAAGGGGGAGAGGGGGGCGCGAGGAAGCATCCTGCCAGGCGTGGACAGCGCGAGCGAGCTGATGAGCCTTGGACCCGGGCCAGACCCCGGCACCTATAATTAAACATAGCATCGCGACAAGGAGCTCGCTGCAGCGGGTCTGGGGGCAGGAACCGCTAGTTTGGCTCCCCGCAAGCACCCCAATAATGTGCTGCACCTTAATGCACTAGGGCACCGAGCCCGGCGCCTGCACGACTGGCAGGAGCCGCAGCGAGGAGGCTGCAGGAGGCAGCCGTGACGAGCAGCATCGCTGCCTCGTAGCCGACACCACAGCACTTTCCAGGTTAGCCTCGATTGCAACAAAAATGGAAACCCATACACACTTCTTTTAAACACTGGATAGAAGTGCAAGATCTGTGTTTCAGGGGAGAAAAAAAAAAGAGAACACAACTTTTTAACACACACACAGCCTAGTCATCAGAAAAGAGCACAATAATGCAACGAGTTTGAAGTTACAAGCTCAAGGTTGCTACACTTCATAGTTCACACCACAAGAAAGGAGGGGATACACTTACAAGAAGCCCACCAAGACACCCCTAAGTAACACAGCACCTTTTAATTCACTTCTTACGGGACAGCTGCTCCTTCCTGACCTTGCACGTTTAACCTGATCATTTAACCATTACAACTTACATGCCTTTCAGGACAGTTTCGAGCCCCCTTTCTGTACTCCAGAACATGACAGCATTTTTCCAAAACAAATTTTTAGGTAGTCCTATCAGAAAACATGGGTGCCATGAGATATTCAACGTGGAACCCAGACAGCAGTTAATAGTGAAGAACAAGCTCTGTTCTGGGCTGCGCTGTGGCAGCTGCTTAGGTGCCCCAAACCAGCTCATTTCAGTATGAGCCACTCTCCCAGATCCTCCTAGCCCTCCATAACAGAATAAGTTTTATGTAGTGAAATGTCAACACACCAACAAGCTAAGCATCTTTTCCCCACCAAATTCTCTACTTCTGAACTACTTCCTCCTCCCAGCAGAGGTTATTACCTTGCTTTTTTATTATCATGCACATAATAAAGAGGCTCCTGCAATCCAATATGCAATTTAAATAGATAAAGAAAGCTAGTTTATAGCATCAAATTTAAAATCCTGCAAACAAATCATGAAGTCTATCTTTAAAGAATGGAGAGAGAGGAAGGAAAAAAAAAAGACTCCTCTCTGCAGTGCGGAGATCGCTGTAGTGTGACAGTAGTGTCAAAGTGCACCATTTGCTCTAGGCATTGCCATCTGCAACAGCACAACATTTCGTCTCCGGTAAATAAACACATCTGCCTTTGCCAGTGTCCTCCCCACTGTGCTGCCCATCTGGAGCAGGTGAGCTGGAAGACAAGCAGGGGCTCAGGAAGGAGGGGAGGCGCAGAGAAGATCAGGGCTCAAGGGACGTGGCACATAGAGGAGAACAACAGTGCCGCATCATGTCACATCCTGCTAGCCAGGTTTGCAAAAAAGCTTGATTACGACTCTCATTAGTGATATTTTTAGTCTTACATAATGACTGCCTGCATGCGAGCGGGCAAAGCGTTCAGCCAGCTTCACCCGTGGCACGTGCGTGGGTCACGGGAGAAGGTGTCACTGCCAGGCAGCTCAGGGCCACCGAGGCACTGCACGGGCACCCAGCACCACTGCTCCTCCAGCAAAGAGCTTTGCTCTCCTCTCCCTTTGCAGGGCGTCCGCTTTGTTCGAAACAGAGAGAAATATAAGTAACACTTAGGGCATCAAAGCAGCCACTTGAAGAAACCACTCAGGTCTTAGTACAGCACATCAAGCAAAGTAAGCAAGGGAAAAAAAAAAAGAATTGACAACCCATGTTTTACTGTTTAACCCATGTTTACTACATTTAAAACTGTAGAGAGCTTTAGGCTAACTGCTCTTATTTACAAAAAAAATACTACTAACTTCTAAGAACTGATAAAAACTGGAAAGGTAGATGCTTCAAACTGTCAAATTCTTTCGGATGCTACTCACTCGACTCCGTAGATAATCAGCTAGGTTTCTGCGTGTAAAGTTTGCAGCAGCAGTAGGAGATAATTCATAACCTGGTGAAGAAATGCATATGTGTTTGGTAAGAGTGCAAGTCTATAGGCATGTTTCACTTTGACTTGTCATTCTTGTTGTGAAATAACAATATATTAATGACAACATGGTATTTATTTGGCTAATTCACATTTATTCCAGAAACTACAGTTATACTAAACCACACAAAAACGGCACTCAAAGATCAGGTAGCTCATGTCTATGCAGACCATTAAAATGGACAATAACTGTAAAATACTACACCTGCAGCCTGAATTTTTCATGCAAGTGTACAAGAAAAACTGACAACAGTTGTTATGCAATGGAGATATTACCTATTACCATACTGTTCATTCATATTACAACAAGGATATCCTGCCTTCGTTAGCACCTTTCCTGACAATCTGAAATGCAGAAATACTTAAAACTACACACACTTTGAAAAAAATAGCACTTCCTGCTAACATGCAACTGTAAACTACATTAAATCTCCAAAAACTCATTTATACTTCTCATCCTTCACTCACCATTTCTCATTTTGTAGAGTTGAACATTTTTTTGGATGTATTCTGCAAACTGTACAGTGTCTCCAGCCTCCCCAACACACAAGAGTAGGATTTTTTCACTCATTTTAAACATCTTGTCATGGTCTAGGCAAAGAAAAAAATAGCATCAAAAGCTATAGTCATGAAAAGAATAAATTATTTCACCAATACCATTAAAACATCACAGCTTCTTGTGGAAACATTAATTTAGAATACTTTGATAACTGTGTCGCATCCTGGAATGACACCCAAAACATCTTCCACAGTTTCTCTTTTCCAAGAGAAACAAAGATAGAAGGTGTTGAGGGCTTTTCTCAGGGAGAGAGGAATTCCAGGAATATATGATTTTGTTTACACTGAAATGATGACAAAAATTTCAGAGATGACCATTCTGCGATCATTCTAAGACACCAATCTCGACCAGTTAAAGCCAACTATTGCTCATGTGAGACATAACTAAGAACTCAAACAGGGCTGGGGACAGGGAAGGCTGCTCCTCAAAACTGCAGCCAGGTCTAGAGGACAAATGCTCAATCTCCACACCTGAACCTCACTTCCATTTACTAAATGCTGCTGAATAACCTCCCTTGCAAGCTGTGAGTTAGAGCATCTACAAAGTGTACAGAAATTCAATGTCTGGAGAGTTCTGCCTCTCTTTTGAGACTGATCCATTTTTGCAACCTACTTAGAACTTGAAGAAAGTATCACTAAACACCCATATTCTCTTCAAATACTTAAAGTTTTTCCGTGCTTATTTTTCAAAATAAAAACAAATAAATTAGATATATTTTCCTGAAAAATAACCAACACAGCATTTTGCAGCAACCCCATTATTTCACAAAATATTTTGCTTAAAGAGGTCAAATATACATTTTGGATGTGCTGAAGTGCTTCACAGTTATCCTGCTAACACGGCTCCAGTTGATTAGGGCAGACTTGAAAAAAAATGCATTACTCAGGTAGCAGCACTGCTAGCTATAACGTTAACGGCTTCGTGGAAAGTTTATCAACAGTGTAGTGTATTTAAGGAAAAAAAAAGGAAGAAGAGCACCTAAACACTCCGTATTTAAATTTAGAGGACCATTTTGCCTTGCATAATATTGTATCATGTATGTACAAAGCTTCTAGTCCACAGCATCACAACAACAGGTAGAAAAGCCTGATTTGTGACTAATTTGCGGGCAGGAGAAGCCCTTTTTCCCTCACGAAAAGGAGCTAAAAGACGTTTCGGCCCGGGCGGGGACCCCAGCGCTCCGCGGAGGGGCGAGCGCGCCCGAGGCCCCTCCTCGGGCCCCCCCTGCCCGCCTCGCCCCT